TGTTGACTCAGCAGGGTAGACTTCTACCACTTGCCCACTTGCCTCACCACTTGACCACTTGCCTCTGCTTAAACGTGGGCAACTTCGAAAGGCCACTACTGGGACCTTCCGGAAGGCCGTAGACTTGGCCCTTCGTGACTGTAGCAGCTACGATTCTCACCCTTCTGGATTGTAGCAGCTTCGACCTTGACCTTTCAAGAAAACTACAGCTACAATGTCTAGACCTGACTAAGGCTCCTATCCGTCTACAGATAGAACCCATGCTACCTATGGACCCTATGACAACCTATCAGCTATTACAAATACACAGGTCGCGGGTTCAATTCTACGGGTCAACACAGGTACTGTACACAGGTAAGGTTGGGGTCTAGGGATCGAACCCTGGGATCTGCAACAGCTACTGCTAACTGGTGAATACCGTTTCACTCCCACCGTCCTAAATTCGAGGTCCTCCGAGAATAATTCAGTCCAAGGCATGACCTTTACCTTTCTGTTCTCTCTCGTAGGCTCTAACTATATCGGGAGCTGTCTCTAGAAGTTCTGATCTCGTAAACCAGCGGTCATCCTCCGGTTCCTGATATGCAAAGCGAACCTTGTACTGTTTCTGTGGACGGCCTCTACCTCCTGTTCTGAACACATCCTCGTCTACAATGCCCTCTATGTCATAGCTCCCATCCATATCCGGAGGGATCATGAATCTTCTAGAAGGGAACTGTTGGCTTGTAACACATGGCAACAACTTTGAAGCATGGAACACAGGATGTGTAGAGGTGTACTGGGATCAATATAGTGTATGACGGTCAATCCTCTCCGCCCTTGACTTCTAGAACTGGCCACGGTCCTCTATATGCAGGCAGTAACTTCTGCGAGATGTTTTCTTCAGGCGCAAACTCCTTTGCCTTGACCCAGACTAAGTCGCCTACTTGGAACTGTGATGGGCGACGGTGCTTATTAGCCTGCTCTATCATCCTATGTTGGGCCTTCCGTAGGTTGTCAACAACAGTGGCTAATTCCTTCTCGTGCTGTATTGCAAACTCCCTGGTATCGGGCGGTAGTCTGTGAATCTGATCCCGATTCAGTCCTTCAAACGGTCTGCGCGGTCTAAAGGACTTGTGCATCTCATTGGGAGTGCGGCAGGTGGATAGATGTACACTTTTGTTGTAGGCACTAACTACCTTAGGCAACATCTCATCCCAGTTGATCTGGTCTGGTCTAATGTACATGCGCATAACTTGCTGTAGGATCTTGTTCATCTGTTCTGTCTGGCCGTTGGTCTCTGGATGACGACCAGATGACATTAACAACTTGGATCTGTACACTCTCACAAGTTCTTGCCAGTTCTGGCTGGTAAAGCGACTATCTCTATCGCTGAGTATTGACAATGGGATTCCATTCTCACTAACCCAAAAGTCAAAGAACTTCTGTATCACTAAGTCTGTACATGCCTCTGAGGGCAAAGGAACAAAAACTGCGTACTTACTAAACCGGTCAACTATGACCATGACTTGACTTTTGCCATGTCTACTCTTGACTTGGGTGTCCATAAAGTCTATGGACACTGAGTCTCTCGGCTGATCCGGAATAGGCAAGGGTCTGAGAAGACCAAGGGGTGCGCGTGTGGTAGTCTTATTACGCTGGCATACTTTGCAACTGCAGACATACTCTATGCAGTCATTCTTCATCCCTGGCCAGGTATACGCACGCATCAGGTTGGCTAGAGTCTTTTGTGAACCGAAATGTCCCTGAGTATCGTGGCATTCCCCTAAGATCAAACTGCGGATCTCTTCGTTGTTGGGGATGCACAGGCGGTCAAACACATTAGTCTTCTCAAACAACAACCCATYTGTAGTGCGGTAATCTGGTTCAGTCTYTGGGGCCTCCCTAACTCTCTTTAGGAGGTCGCTATAGATAGGGTCCTGTGCATACGCTTGCTTCACTTTCTCCTGCAGGTCTCTCCCTATATCCAGATARTGTACTACGGCTCCAAAGTAGTMTGATCTYCTACTCAGAGCATCCGCAACTACGTTGTACTTGCCCTTCACTGACTTAAGCTCAAAGTCATATTGGTCTATCTTTGCGGCCCACCTAGTTAGCTTAGGTGTCATTTTGGCCTGAGTCTTTAACCATCTAAGCGTTCCATGGTCGGAATACACTTTGAAGTGCCTCCCAAGCAGGTAGTGCTTCCAATGGTCTAAAGCCTGCCTAAGAGCGTAGAGTTCTCTCTCGTACGTGGAGGTAGCGACCTTCTCACAGGGCATCCTCGCCGACATGAACTCTACGGGTCTATAACCATTGCCGTCATCTTGCTGCAACACGACGCATATCCCATATTGACTCGCGTCCGTGGTGACGACAAATGGCAAGGACGGATCTGCTACTTTGAGGACAGGGTACTCTATTAACGCGCGCTTTAGCTTCTTGAGCGCAGACGCACAGTCTTTGTCCCATTGCCAGATTGCCTCTTTCTTTAGCAACCTGCGCAAGAGAGCGGCGATAGTAGAGAAGTTCCTCACGAACTTCCTGTAGTAGTGAGCTAGGCCTAGGAACGACCACAACTCTGTCAATGTGCGGGGCGTCGGCCAATCTCTAATCGCCGCTATCTTACTGTCCTCTGGCCTAATGCCATCTCCGTCTAATACGTGGGCCGAGTACAAGACTTGTGTCTTGGCCCACTCGCACTTTTTCGCGTTGATCTTGAAGTTAGCCTCTCGTAGCTTCTCCAAGACCTGCCTCAGATGACCCTGATGCTCCTGGAGGGTCTTACTAAGAACTAAAATATCATCTAAATAAACCACTACAAACTTGTCTAACCAGGGTCTGAATAGATCATTCATACAACGCTGAAATGTAGTTGGCGCGTTGGTTAGTCCAAAGGGCATCACTATGAACTCATAATGCCCATATCTAGTCCGGAAGGCAGTCTTGTACTGATCATCAGGATGAACTTCTATCTGATGATAATCAGACTTCAAATCAATCTTAGTGAAATACTTACAACCCTGCACCCGATCTAGAAGATCGTCTATCCTGGGCAGTGGCTCAACATTCTTCACCGTAATCGCGTTCAAACCCCTATAGTCTATGCACATTCTCAACTCTCATTCCTTCTTGGGGACGAACAAAACAGGTGCTCCAAAAGGAGACGAACTGGGTCTGATCCAACCTTTCTCGAGGAGCTCGTCTAATTGCTTGCGCAACTCCTGTAACTCTCTAGGGGACATCCTGTAAACTGCACCCTTAGGAGTTCTACTACCAGGTTCTATCTCTATCCTGTGCTGGATGGGTCGCGGCACTACTCCTGTCGGCGGCTCGGTCAAGTCTTTGAACTCTTCCAGCAACTTGGCTATGGTTGGATCCGTGGAACTTCTCTTCCTGGGCCTCAGTGACAGGTCGAACATAAACTACAAAGACCTGCTCTTCTAATCGCTCCTTCTTCACTAATCGCGCGAACGAGGGAGCACTGAGACAGCAATGTGCCAAGGTGTTGTCTACACCTGACACATGAAACAGGCGGGKAGTCTTAACCTCGCCTGACGGGCTAGGGAGCCTACACTCATGCTCTCTCAAATGAAGTGTGGCCCCTACTGCCTCTCCCCAATCCATTCCTAACACTACATCAAAAGGAAGGTCATGGAGAGTCAGGGAATGGAGAACTTTCTCCACCTTCCCATCCTTTTCTAGGCAAAAGTACGCCTGGACTCCCTCTGCATAGTCCTCCACTCGCATCGTGCGGTTGTCTGCGAGGACACTGACTATGGGGTCTGCCAATTTATGGACTTTCAATCCTAGCTTCAACTTCTTCAGCGCCCTACGACTGATATAACTGCGGGTGGCCCCTGAGTCTATCAGGGCCCCTACTCTGCTTCTAAAAACTTCTACATCTACCAGGATCGGTCGTCCTCTACTCTCTGTCTTCATCTTGGCTCAGGCTGGCATCCTCTCCTTTAACTCTTCTACCACACCTGTGAGGGACGTGCCGAAAGAGACGCTAATACAAGCGGTCTCAGGACAGCTAGCTAGGCATGGGCCTGCAACCTCTGCCATGGGCTCATGTGGGTTGGGAGTGTCTTGTTCGCGCGCGCTCACTACTCCAGATGGCCCTGAAGTAGGGGCAGTTGCAACCCCTACTGGCGGCTGCCTTTTGATTGTTGGGCAGCCCAACGGGCCTGCCTATACTTAGGACAATTTTTTTTTACGTGAGCCGGGTCACCACAGAATACGCACTGACCCATGTTCACGAGTTCCTGCCATAATCGCTGGTTTAAGCCCAAATCTTCCCAGGGCCTGCCGTGTGGCAAGCCTGGGTGCCATCCTCCTTGAGGTGCCCTTCCACCTCTTCGCTGTGGGGACCGGTTACCCTGGCGATTTGACGGGGGACCTTGACCCCTAGCTCCCGCTTGGCGGTTTCTTTGGCCACCAACCCCCTGCGCACCCGGTCCTCGGCCTCCTATGGCCTGGCCCCTTTGGCCCTGGCCTCCTCCTCTACCTTGCGGCTTCCCTCCAGCCGCGACAGCAGCATAAGACCTCCCCTGTCCCAAGCTACTGTCCTCCTCTTCAAGGCCCCACTCAATCTGCTCATATGGGACCTCATCCGTACCACCTTCCTCCAACGTTAGGATCAGATGATCCTTGGCCTTTACTTGGCCTGAGATGGTGCGATCCTTCTTCTTCCCCTTCTCCAGGTCTTGATGCCAGAAGGTGGTGACTGGCATAGACCTTGACTCATACAGGACGACTTCTCTACTCAATGCATCATAAGTGATGCCGGCCTGTTGAGATTTATCAAAGAAATGCCCCCTCAGGGGCTCATGCATGGCACGATAAAACAACTGGACCAACTGGGTCTCAGTGACCCCATGGTCTGGGACGGCCACCAGGTCGTCCATAACGCCCTTGAGTGCCCTTGCACTCCTCCACTGTCGTGAGTGGATTGTTTGTAACTTGTCAGAGGCACGAATGCCTCTCGTTGGGTCGGCAAACCGCTCCTTCAGGAGCTTGAGGAATTGAGGGAGGGGGGTGACTTTGGAATATGCAACCAGGTTGTTTTCACAACCGGCTGCGCGCGCAAGGGACCTCGCAAAACTAGCCGCCTCATCCTTCAGGGCCTGAAACGCTACAAGGACTTGCTCATCTGTCAGGATGTGCTGTAGGTAAATATAGCTATTGACGCTGGCTTCCCAGTTGTCGAAGTTCTCCTCCTTCTTCCGTCCATAGGCATCTGGGAATTCGAGCTTAACTRGGTCCTTGCGAGGTCTGGCCTCGCCCTCTACTGCGGCTATGGCTTTGGCACCCTCAATGGCGCCCTCGCAATACTTCCCTACGTTATCCCTCAGTTGCCTGACTTTGCCCCCAATGTGGGTGACGATCTCGCGCGCAAACTCTCTAAACCCTGACCGCATGGCCTTCAGGGTGATGTCTTGGCCCTGATTGGCTTGTCGTTCCTCTAACCAGGCCTCACTCAACACCTCTAAGTATCCCAACATCTTGTCCATTTTGGCAGAAACGTCTGTCTGTGCTTGGACTTCCTGTCTACACGTCCGCACCTTTTCCACTTCTTCGGTCAACCGGTTAGCTTCCTCCCTTCTCTTCTTCTCCCTCTTCATCCTCAACTTCCATTCCAGTCTCTTCTCCTCCTCGGCTTCTTGACGTTCAAGGGGGTCCTCAATCACTGCGAGGGCCCTGGCAAACGCCTCTTTCTCTTCCAGTGGCACATACATCCTTCCAGTGGCACATACATCTGCGCCTCCTCATCTTCACCCAACGATAAGTTAGCAACCCACTCACTTATTTTTTTCTCCATCTCTGCATCTTTATCCTCCTTCGTGCCACTACTCCCTTCTCTACTCTCAATTCTCATCCTCTCTTTCTCTTCTTCTGCTACCGCTTCTTCTTCAGCAGCCTTCGTCCTTTTCTCCATCTCCTCCTCCAATTCGTTCATCTTCGCCGCCTGTTCCTCTGCGATATCCTTCAACTTAGCTTGCTTCTCGCGCTCCTTTCTCTCTCTATTCTCTTTAACTAAGGCGGCCATCTTTTCTTGCTGCTCAGGGGTGTAGGGACTAGTGCTATTCCCACTACGTAGGTCCACCATGGTGATAGGTGCACAATCAGAATGATTCCACTCCTCACCACGTAGACTTTGACCCCTGACTGACAAACCTACTGACTCAATCTAAGACTCGCAGAATCCTGACAGGGATCCTGTCAACTATGGTCTCTAGCCTAGACCTATGCTATGGCTGTCACTACTGATCTGGAGGCATTTAAGGAGATCCCCCGTAACTTCGCAAGAATTCTTTAACGTCGCAGACAGGACGACGTGATCAGCTTGGTTCTGCCTGTGCTTTCAGTCCACAACTCAGCCTTTCCGGCCTACTGTGCCACACCGAGCAGCCCGCCGGTCTGTACCGGTCCTTGGGAGGGTTCGTATCCCCCGGGACAGTCGAGTCGTCAGACACAGATCCTCAGCCTTACTTGGTCCGGTAGGGGAGTGGTTCAAACAGGCCCCTCAAACAGACTGCCTGTGTTTCAGCCCGCAACTCAGTCTTTCAGGCCCACTGTGCCCTACCAACCGTTTCCAGCCGGTCAGCACCGGTCCTTGGGGGGGTTATGGCCCCCTCAGCCCTACTAGATCCGGTAGGGGAGTGGTCAGCAGGCTCTATCCTTCATCCACAGAGTACTATCACCTAGGACAGAAGAGACTCAATGCAGAAAGAATAGACAGACTGACTTGACTCAGCAAGTACCAAGGGGTGTGTGCACATCCATAGGGCAAGGGATAGGCTGAGGGCTTGGCGAGATGTTACCAACCCCAAATTGGTCAAAGTCTTGGTCAACGCCGGTCAACGCTGCTATGACCCGCGGTCAACCCCGATCAACTCTGGTAACGGCCGGTCAACCCTCTTAGTCAACCCTCCAGTCAGCTATGGCTGCCGGCTGTTCTTCCTTGCCAACCCTCTTCTTCTTCTTCACCTTCCTCGCCTCCTTTCACCCCGCTGTCTTTTTCTTCTCTTTCTCTTTTTTTTTTTTTTTCGATCGGCCTCCTCTTCACCTCTTGGCTATGGCCGCTCCTTCTCCTTCCTCGGTCTCTCCCCCTCTGTCCTTCTCCCTCCTTACTTCGTCACTCCGTGATACAAGCTTCGCGGCTATGGCCGCTGTCTTCTCCTTTGTGGACTGTGCAACAGCTTCACAAGTACGTAACAGCCAATCTTGTATCGCTCATCTCTCTCTCTCTCTCTCTCTCTCTCTCTCTCTCTCTCTCTCTCTCTCTCTC